GAAGCTCTCCTTAAGCAATTAGTTAAGTCCACCAAATACATTGCACTCATCAGCAGAATCTAAGAATCTACTGTAGTCAAAATGGAGTAAATGAAGGAACGCGTGTCCTCACATGGTTGCCCTCTGTCTTTTCGAACAAATTCCAAGAGAGACTGTCCTGTGCCTCACTGTGCTGGACCTGGGAGAGTTTGAGTCGGATGTCTGCTCTCAATTATAGCAACTATGGGAACTATGGCAATGCCAACTATGTGTTCAAGAGATTGAGAGGCACAAAGTACCCCCTGCCAGGCAAAGTACCAGACTGCTCAAGCGGACTCAAGCGGAGTTGCATTCGCAAAAGGAGCTTAAACTGGGAACACGATCGACTTGCATCAAATTGCAGCTCCTGTTTCTGCGCAGATCAATATAATCATTTTAGACACCCCTGGTCTTGCATGTCTCAACATGGTGCACATTCCGTGGAGCTTAGTTGCTTGGTTTTTGTTAGTGTCTATCCTATCTCTCTTTGGCATGAGAATGTGGAGACGCAGGGATCCCAGGTTTCTACAGAACAGCAGCCCTTCAGATCCCTTCTGTGCAGGTCTTACTTTTGCAATGATATCAAGTGTTCAGTGAGTATATTAAGCATATAACATGATATAGTATATATTTACTATACTGTATATGTTTTCCCCGGAGCTGTGCTTTGGGCGCAAAGCTTGCTGCCGAAATGACCGACAAATTTATCGCATGGCGGCACTCCCACCTGACCCCAACTTCGCGTCGCGAGGAAATCGGGCAACATTTTTTTTCAACCCTAAAACATGTTTTTTCAACCCTAACCTTTTTTTTCAACCCTGCAACATTTCTTTTTGACCCTCGAACATTGTTTTTTGACCCTGTCACATTCTTTTTTAACCCTTGTATATGCTTTTTCGACCCTGGACCCTTCTTTTTCAACCCCGTCCATTTGGGCCCACCAGACTTTCCCGCAGCTCGAAGCGCCTCTTTCACTCTTGACGGGTCGTCGTCGAGCAGACTGCCCGCTTACAAGCTCTGGGCCGTTGGGGGCCCAATCTGGGGCCTGCAATGGTCCGGTTGGGTGTTGGAAGCTACATAGGGACCCTTCGAGTTCCTCCATTCCATGTCAGATTGCTCATTGGCGCGCCCAACCAACTGGAGGAAACTATGGAGGATGAAACTGATTGGAAAAACAGATTCTCCAAGAAACGTCAATCATGCCCTCTTAGACATGAAACAAGAAGTCAATGTTAATGTCTTCAAACCAACGTCAACCGCGGCGTGTGGAGATCTGCGGGTCGGACTTGAAGGGAATCACCAACCCAAAGCTGAGAACTCATTGGATGAGGTCCCTGAATCGACAGCTATGTATCCATGTTAATGCAGTAAATGTATGTTGTGGAGAAAAGGGTCGTCACTCCTTCCACAGATGCAATGGGGAATAGTTCTTTTCTTTATGCTAACGGTTCCTTTTTTTATGCTGGATTTGGGTGGGTTCTTTTTTTTATGCTAACGGTCTTTTTTTATGCTGAGGGTTCTTACTTTTATGCTGAGGGTTCTTATTTTTATGCTAACGAATGTAATTGTCGCGGGGCTTTGTTGGAAAATGTAATTGTCGCGGGGCCTTAGTGGAGAATGTAATTGTCGCGGGGCTTAGTGAAGAATGTTATTGTCGCGGGGCTTTATTGGAGGGGCGGCGGCTCATCTGCGCACACAGATTTGACGCATCTGCGCACACAGTCCATCGGGGAGACTCAAGTGCGCACACACGCCCTTTCCCGCATGTTTGCTCACTTAAAAGGGTCGTCAAGATGGAATGGCCACTTCCTCCTCTACATTTTACCCTCCAGTGGCTCACCAAAGGGTGAGTCAACTTGGAATGACCACTTCCTTCTC